AGAAGATTTTGAAGTAAAGGCAATCAGCTTAAAAAAAGGAACACAAACAGTTTTGGAATTTTTCTTTTGAGCTTAATTGACCATTAAAGTGCTCTGAAAAATATCAAAAATTTTTGTGAACAACATTACAAAAAGTTATAAAAACTTTTTGGTGATCATTTTTTTCTTTTTTTTTGTTACTTAATTCGGCTCTTTTTCTTCCCCCCCCCACCTCACACAACCATCAATTTTATGGTGTAACGAGTGGTTTTACAAGGTTAATCATGGAGATCAAGTATGCTTGGCACAACCTAGTCAGTCCGCATGTCAATTTTTTTAACGATCCGACAATTTCAACAGAAGGTTTTTTAATAAAAAGTTGCAGGTGGGAGAAAAAGAAAAAGAGCCCTGATTTCTTTTTTCAAAACAACTGTCAAAAACTATGACTAAGCATCTCATTTTCTACGCGTTTCTTTAGTTTTCTCACCACGCCGCGCGAGCAAAACGACACTAATTAGAAGAAAAAAATTAAAAACTTTTTTTCTGTATTTTATTCATGAATGTGGTAGTTTGTTCATTATACCTTACTGGCATAGCAACCAGCAAATCTAACTGTTTTAAGCTTTTTGCAATTTTTATCTAAATTTTTACTAAAATTCGCAGTAATTGTTGAAGGTATGGTTACTGATCGCGTATGTAAATACTCATACCAGTTTTCTTGTACGTTTCAATCTCAAATTTTTCTCCTAGTTTCAAAATGATTTAGCGTGCTATTATGGCTCGAAGTTAAATTAGCACTTTTTTTATAACGTAAAAAAATCAATAATGTTCAAAATAAATGTTCTGATGGACAGTTTTTAGAATTTGACAACTAAAAAACAGTTTTTACAACATTGAAACCCAAAGGTTGGTAAAATGGGAGCCCGTACCGAACGGAAGCTGTTTTTCTAGATAGAAATTTTATGTAGATTATCTAGCCTAGTTTTCTCGTATTTTCCGTGCAGAAGTGATCTATTTATTTTCTGGTTTAGAAACAAACAGTTTCTAGAAAGAAATAACCAGAAATCAGTTAACTGCTCAACCGCAACGAAATAAACATGCTTCGAGCGAATACACAATAGTATACACAATAGCAGTAGCGAATACAATGCAAACTTACACTTGTTATAACATTGTTATTCTCCTAAAACTTGGGATGACGATCAAGGGATGCAGATTAGTGGATAGAGCAAGTGTGCAGGAATCAGAAGGTCGCGTGTTTGAGCCCCACCAGTAGATTTTTTCTAGCTAGAAATAGCCTAGATTTAGCTGATTTCTGATCAGAATTAGGATAAGAAATAAAGTATATAAAGAAAATCCATGCTTTATTTAAACATTTCAAAAAAAAATTCTGATCAGAAATTAGATTAGATACAAAGTATTTCAGGTCAGAAATAAAGAATTTTCTCAGTACGGGAGTTGTAAGGAGTCTCTAATGATTCCTGTACTCGAGAAACTTACCTGGCACATTTGTTCAACATTAGTTTAGATTTGAACAGTAAGCATATCTAATGTGGTTATCTGACTATAGATAATTTTAAGTTTTAACAGAAACAGGATGTTACTGATCAAATCAAAGTTTTGATTTTGATTTTGATGTTTCTAGAAAACGTCATCAACAGAACAGCTTCAATCAATAGAGAGAATTACTTTAGCGTATTCTGCTTTGACATCACCTTGATCATAGTATACAGCTTGTCAAAAATGTAAAATATATGGTGTTTTTTCTGCTAAACTTAGAATCAACCTGATATATAAATTAGAATATTGAAAATATGCAGCAAAATTGGGTTGCGCTGAAAGACAAAGCAAATATAAAAATTTCAATTGGGGCCAAAACAAACTAGTCCTGAAGGACTTAATTATGTTTTATCGTTTATTGCAGAAAAAGCTCAATTTTCTTTAAACAAGAGTAAAAAGAGTATTTGAATTTTATTTACTCACTCAATCAAAACTAAGAAACCTGGATCAACTTTGAATTGATTATAAAATAAAACTTAGTTGAACTACTGAGAGAAAACTTATCAGCAAGAATCAAGTTTTGAAAGCGGACGCTTCGATAAATACAATGAGGAAAAAATTTCAAAAAAGCAGACATAATTTCAGACAAATCGTCACTACGCTAATTTCTTGTCTAAAAAACAAATATAAGTAATTATTTGATTCCCTTAAATATTTTTTTTGTTTCTGTGAAAATAAAATAAAAACATTTGTGATAACGGCAAACAAAAATGAGGATCCAGATGATTTTTTAACTCTCAATTGGTGCAATTTTTGCTGAACAGTTTTGAAAATCCTAGCGACTTCAGAAAAACAATTTATTTTAGAGTCAAAGTTTTTTTTCATTTTTCTGTTCGATATTTATTTGATAAAATAATAAACAATAAAAGCAACGATTAAAAACGATTTTCACCTTGTCGTGTTTAGATTATAAATCTTGTCTTTTTGATTACAATTAAGTATCATTTTCATTGAAAATGTGAACGAAACTTGTTTTCCAAAAATTCAGAAAATTCGTATGTTGGTTCCCCTGAACAAATGCCGCAATTTTTATGTGCAAATCAGTTATAAACCAAATTCTCTCCTTCCTTTATTCTGTAAAATTTTTGAGAAAATTCTAAGAGCGCCTGATAAAATTTATTGCAAAAAAGTTTTTGGCTCATTCCACTTAAACATTTTTTGTATTTTTATAGTTGTCTCACGTGTTGTTAACACTGAGCCATAGTTTTACGACTTAAAGTATGGAAAACAAATCTATTCACCTTATTTAAAATACTTAGTTTAGGGTGACATAATGCGATACAATATACAATTTTAATTTTTGACAAGTGATAAGGAACTACTATTTTAACAAAAACCGTAAGTTAATTTTTAGGTTTAATGATTGACCAAAAACTCAACTTTCAGCTAATACTATCAGTCCTCCACACAGTATTAATTGTGACGTATGGCAATGCAAACAAAATCACTTTGAAAAATCTGCAATTTAAGGATGTTTTTGTGCAAGACAGGACCCTTCAGGAAAAGTTAAGTGCCTCAAAACAAAACAGCAAATAAATATTTCTAAACATTTTTCAGTACGTACGCTTAACAATGCAAAGTTCCAATTTAAAAGGTTTGATGATCCTTTAAATTTCCTAGTATGAAATAAAAACGAACATTGTGTGCTTTTGCACAACCGAAAAAGTAACTATATAGTTGATTCGGAACGTTTCAAAAACATTTTTTGGTATAAAAAATTTTTACACGTTTTGAAACAATTTGTAGTATTTAATTTCTTGTGATCTGCTTGTAAATTGCTTTGAAATTTTCGTTTGAAAATAAAAATCAAGCTTTGCATTTTTTTCACTATTCTGTATAATTTTTTGAAAAAGCTGTGTTTTTGTATAGTTTCAAAGTATGTAATGATTTTCGAAAGGGTAAAATTTTTCATGTACTGATGAATTTTGACAAATAATTGTTTCCGCACATCCTAAAAGATTTAACACCTCAATTTTTCTCTCAGTTGGTATAATTAAAAAATTATGAGTCTTTACAATAAAAAAGTTATTTTCTTTCCGCAAATGGTACCTAGCGATTTCCTCACCTACAAAAATACTAATTCTACGATAATTATTTGCAAAAAATGTACCTTTTAACAAATCCCACCCCCTTGTGTCATATGTAGAGAACAAGAATCAAATCTCAAACCCCCACAATTGATTCTCAAGTTTGGAAAACTATTTAAACGTTGTCATAATGTATTCAAGTTTTGCATGGTGAAATAGTTAATTATTTTCAACATATTGTGTCCTCACTTACTAAGAAAAAATCACGAACTTAGAAGACTGCTCGTATCAGAGCAAAATGACGAACGTTCTGACTGCCCTTTAGTTGGTCTCGAATAATTTTTGTAAATTAAATATGGGCCAAAATTTGAACTTTAGGCTTAAATTTGAGTCATGTATGGAATTAATAAATCCAATTAGCTACCTCAATTCAAACATGAACGATTTTGTTGTAACGGATAATTGGCATTGTGTAAAGTATAACCCTTGCATTTTATTCAGGCTGGTTGCAGGTTATTGCACTGGCAGAGCAAGGGATCAATCCCATGAGGGAATAAAGAGTTTTGTGAATTGGTTTGAATAAAAAAACCAGCCCAATCATGTGTATTTCTCACTTTCATCAAAATCGAAACAGCAAAGTTTTTGCAAGTCGAAACAGCGCGGACCTATTTATTTTTCTAATTCGGTTCTAAAATTCTTTTTTTTTCAGATCTAATTTTCAGATATGAAAAGAGTTATAAACTATTAAAATAACGCTTGGATACCTTATGAATGGTTTCTTTCAGATCCAATTTTAAGCCTGAAATTTTGTTTTTCCTGGTTTTTTTTCAGATCTGAAGATATCAATGTTTCTGACACATTTTTTCCTATTTTTGGTAGTTATGTACATTATAGCTACTGGCAGATACTTAGCGAAATCTCTAATCGGAGATTGCTATAGTATTTTTCCCAAAAATGAGATAGACATAGAAAATGCATGAGAAGCGCTTGAAAATCAAAATTTTGATAAATTTTTATTTGAGTTTTTAAAACAGTTGAACAAGTTCAAAAAAGAATACGTGTTGTTATTTGTTAAGTTTTTTTCATTGCTAATTAAACGCGAAAAAACAGCAAAAAATTAAAATTAGTTACTTGCTCTAATGCGTACATTATAATTGCGGAAAGGGTTGCTCAGATTTGTTTTCAGATCTGAAATTTTGTTTTTCATTGGTATTTAAGATCTGAAAATTTCTATTTGAAATCCAAATTAAAATTTCGTTAAGTTCTTATCAAAGATCTGAAATAACGAATATCAGATCTGAGAACCAACTTATAATAGAAATAAAGGATTTCAGATCTTTTATAAAAGATCCACTAGGTACCGGGGGGAAATTAAAAAACGCCAATCCTAAGTTTGAATTTTTCGCTTGCCTAGGCGACCCTGAGCAGAGTTGAATGTCAGGAAAGAAGACTAAGGGCAAGGATGAGTCATCCAGTTCGGAGGAAGAGGGGGAGGGAGAAGGAGCAGGGGAGCAGCAGGGGGAACAGTCTCTCAACACATTCGGAGAGGCAGACTCTGACGGTAAGAGGAATTCTTCATCTATTACTGCTTCTGAAGGGCTTATGCCCTTTAGGGTTTATCTTTTTTCCTATTTAGAAACAACATTTTAACATTGTCATGATCTAATAAAACTTGGCGTGGTGAACAGGCTAACTATTGTGAATAGCTTTTTTCTTCACGCTTTGTACCATAACGTCACGCGTTTAGCGACAATAACTTTTAAATCAACTTTTTTAAAAAATTTGAGTTGTGGGAAAGGGAAGAGTGGAAAAAAATTAGTTCTATTGGATCAATTGTTTGTATTCTTTTCGGTGACTTTCTCTTGATGCGATGTGAAATTCTTCAATTTCTAAAGAAAACTGAAGTTGTCTTTCGAAAAATACTGCAAAGTTTTCCTAAAAATTGAGCAAAAAAGTAAGCTACTTCATAGTATACTACTTTAAGCTGCCTTAAATTTGATGCAAAGCATTTTTTAAAGAAAGAATTTTTAAAAAGAAAAATCAGTGCTTTCGCTTAGCAGTTCTTAGGTTCTTTACAAAACTTTTTAATTTTTAACTGTATGACATTTGCTGTTTGACTGTACGCCATCCTATTATTTGCATAATAATTTTCTTCAAATTATCGTAAAAGAAATGTTTGCAAAAAAAAAGATTCAAACTTCCCATAATCATGTAGAAATTTCCCTCTAGCTAGCTCCGAAGTGCCAGATGCGTTTGGAGGGGCCAGTCAGACTGATCTGGACACGGAGCCGCCCAAGACACCCGGCAGCACCGGTGGGGAATACCACGGGGACAAAATCGAGAAACAGGTAGTCAATCAAAATTAATCTGAGTTATTTATTTATATTTTTAATCTTCCATTATCACCTATTGAATCACGTCGAGGATAAAACTCAAAATATGATCATATCTATTTTTTATAGCAAAATTTTGCTGCAAATATGGTTTCTGGTCTACTTTTTGAGCTGTTTTTTGTTTGCTCATCGCACTATTCAAGATCAATCGCATTTACACTGAAAAATCTCTCGTTCATTTTTCCTTTTGATCATCAATATAACTTTCGGCTCTTTTCCAGTCCCCACATTCGTAAAACTATGATACAACTACAAAGATTGTAAATACTTTCTTCGTTTGTTCATGCTGACATAATTTTGTTACAATTTAGAACATCAACGTTTTTTGTAACTTTGGGCTTTCGACAATGAAAATTCAATAAAATTTAAATAGGGGACTTGAAAAAAGCCTTTTTTCACACCTCGAAACTTGTACCTCAATTTTACATAGTTTTCTATTTTAGACGAGCCAGGTGGAAGTGAAGGACCCCTTTGCCCCCAAATCCAAGAAGAAGACCAAATCAAAAGGTAAGCATAACAAATTCTTTTTCTAACACTCAAGCGGGCATATCTATTTAGCAGAACAACTGTCTAACCTCAAACCTTGATTGCAAATATTTTTGCTCTGAACCTTCTGAGCACAGGAATTGTCTAAGTTGTCTACTTTTGTCGGTGATTGTATTAATTTCCAGGAAACTCTCAAAAATGTTCAAAATATATCGAGACTAACGCTTTTAAAAGGTACTTTTTAGTAACCTCAAAAGTAAAATTATTTTTGTTCACAAACTAGAAATTTTAAACCATGGTTTGAGTCAATAACCTTTAAGCTATCTGAACCTTTGCTGTATTTAAGCGATTTGTTGCTTTGGGTATTGTAATTAACAGACACAACAAAAGGTGGCTCAAAAAAGAAAGGAGGCACTGGAGCCGAGGAATCATCGGAGGGGTCCATTCCCAAATCCGGTAAAAGGAAGGGGAAAACAATGCAGAAGACTGCACCAATTGACGACGAAGACGAAGACGATGAATTATCTCAATCTCAAGGAGAGAGCGGGGAGCCTCCAGGTACAGAAACACGGGCACCATCGGGTAGTGGAACCGGAGCTGCTGAAGCTACCGGAACTGGAGCCACTGAAGGTACAGGCGCGCCATCAGGTGCAGGAACTGGGCCTCAAGATGCTGCATCAGGTGGGCCGTCAAACACAGCCGGTGGATCCCAAAATGACACGAGTGATTTCGAGGAGGTCGAGGGCGCTGAGCCAGCTTCTGTTGGCAAAAGCACCGGTAAAAGTAAGAAAACAAAGACACGATATGGCAATGGCAGCACAGTCGATCCTCCCAAAATATCGGTGGACGAGTCTCTAGCAGTTTCAAAAGGAGGTACGAAAAAGAAAGTAAAAAGAACTAAAAGCACAGGATCGAAAAAGAAAACGGGGGAAACCGGTCCGACTGGAACCACTGGAATGCTATCTGGCGAAGGATCCATGGACGAGTCAGGATCCACTAACAAGTCAAGAAGCAAATCCAGTTCCAGAAGTGGTTCAAAGCTCTCCGGCTCGAAAGCAAAAACAGGGTCAAAGTCTCCGACTGGGAAATCAAAGAAAACAAACGAAGAGTTCGAAATCATTTCGGGTGAAGGATCGAACTTGTCTGGCGCGGATGAAAGTTTGTCCGAAATGAGTGCAAGTGAAGATGAATTATCTGTTAACTCACAAGCTTCGAAGACAAGCAAAACAAAGTCAAAACGAAGGAAACGAACCAAGTCCAAAGGACGTTCCGGAGCTGCCACAAAAAGCAAAGTTGGATTCTCAAAAGGAGCACCAGAAACTCGCACGTATGACCCCACGATCGATTCGACAAACCAAGCAACTGGAGCCGGAACGGGAGCAGGCACGAATATCGGTGCTTCTGGGACCCGAGACTTGACGTCACAAGGCGAAACAGAGTCTCAAGTATCTGGCTCGAAGTCAAATGCTTCAGGCGCGAGTAAGAAGTCATCTAAGCTACCTCGATCAAACAGTCGCTCTCAGACCACACCGATCAAAGCTGCGAGCGGTGTGCAAGGATCTACATTCACTGGAACTCAGAAAACGATGGGAACAGATGTATCAGCATCCGTGGTCAATTCTCGTGGAAAGTATGGAAGCGATCAAACTGGAGCCACAGGCACCCAAGGAACTGGTACCCAAGGAACTGGTACCCAAGGAACTGGTACCCAAGGAACTGGTACACAAGGAACTGGTACCCAAGCAAATGGTACACAGGGGAGTGGCACCCAAGGCAGTGGTAACCGAGGCACTGGTAACCGAGGCACCCAAAACACTGGCACCCAAGGAATGGGTATTCAAGGCTCGGATAACAAAGGAACACTCAAAACGGAAGTGACAGGAACCGACGCTTCTGGGGTATCAGTATCCGTGGTCAATTCTCGTGGAAAGTATGGAAGCGATCAAACTGGAGCTACAGGTACTCAAGGAACTGGTACCCAAGGAACTGGTACTCAGGGAACTGGTATCCAAGGCACTGGTACTAAAGGAACTGGTACACAGGAAACTGGTACCCAGGAAACTAGTACCCAGGAAACTGGCACCCAGGGCACTGGTACCCAAAGAACTGGTACTCAGGGAACTGATACTCAAGGAACTGGTACCCAAGGATCTGGTACCCAAGGAACAGGCACTAAAGAAACGAGTATCCAAGGGCCAGAAAATAAAGGAACACTCGGAACAAAAGTATCAGGAACTGATGCTTCTGGGGTATCAGCATCCGTCGTCAATTCTCGAGGAAAATACGGAAGCGATCAAACTGGAGCCATAGGTACACAAAGGACTGGTACCCAAGGAACTGGTACCCAGGGAGGTGATACCCAAGGAAGTGGTACACAAGGAACTGGTATCCAAGGGACTGGTACCCAAGGAACTGGTACCCAGGAAAGTGGTACCCAAGGAGTTGGTACAAAAGAAAGTGGTACCCAGGAAAATGGTGCCCAAGAAGCTGGTGCACGAGAAACTGGTACGCAAGGAACTACCCAAAAACATCTTAGTACTGAAGCGACAGGAACACACGCTTCCGGTGTTTCAGCATCTGTGGTCAATTCAAGAGGCAAATATGGAACCAGTGGCACAGGAATGACATCTGGCTCGGATGCAAAATCTTCCAACGCAATGACGAAGCAATCACTAAATCAAGATGGGACTTTGAAAAGTTCAAATGCATCCGAGACGAACAAAACCGGCTCCAAAGGAAAATCGTTTCCTGAAACCAGAAAGCAATCTTTAAACGCTGACGGAACTGTGAAAGAGACAGCCGCTTCTGGTACCAAAGGCTCACAGCAGTCTGGAACTCAGGCTACTGGTACTGCCGCAACTGGAACTGACGCTTCTGGCCTGGATGCCAAAGATGAAAATGAAACAGGTACTGGTTCGAATGTAACTGGCTCTGGTGCTCAGACTGAAAAAAGTAAAAGTGGTGCAACAGGGTCTCAGGGACCTACACTCAAAGCTGACGGAACAGCGAAAGAAACAGCGGCTTCTGGTACCAAAGGCTCACAACAGTCTGGAACTCAAGCTAGTGGTGCCGCTGCCTCCGGAACTGCCGCTTCTGGTACTGCTGCCGCTGGTACTGCAGCTTCTGGATTGGATGGCAAAGATGAACAGGAAGATGGAACAGGTACTGGTTCGAATGTAACTGGCTCTGGCGCGCAGACGGGGAAAAGTAAAAGCGGTGCAACAGGGTCACAGGAACCTACACTCAACGCTGACGGAACAGTGAAAGAGACGGCTGCTTCTGGTACCAAAGGCTCACAACAGTCTGGAACTCAAGCTAGTGGTACCGCTGCCTCCGGTACTGCCGCTTCTGGTACTGCTGCCGCTGGTACTGCAGCTTCTGGATTGGATGGCGAAGATGAAGAGGAAGAGAGAACGGATGCTGGTTCGAATGTATCTGGTTCTGGCGCGCAGACGGGAAAGAGTAAAAGCGGTGCAACCGGGTCACAGGAACCTAAACTCAACGCTGACGGAACAGTGAAAGAGACGGCCGCTTCTGGTACCAAAGGCTCACAACAGTCTGGAACTCAAGCTAGTGGTACCGCTGCCTCCGGTACTGCCGCATCTGGTACTGCTGCCCCTGGTGCTGCAGCTTCTGGATTGGATGGCGAAGATGAAGAGGAAGATGGAACAAATGCTGGTTCGAATGTATCTGGTTCTGGCGCGCAGACGGGGAAAAGTAAAAGCGGTGCAACAGAGTCACAGGAGGGTACACTCAACGCTGATGGAACAGTGAAAGAGACGGCCGCTTCTGGTACGAAAGGCTCACAACAGCCTGGAACTCAAGCTAGTGGTACCGCTGCCTCCGGTACTGCCGCTTCTGGTACTGCTGCCGCTGGTACTGCAGCTTCTGGATTGGATGGCGAAGATGAAGAGGAAGATGGAACAGATGCTGGTTCGAATGTATCTGGTTCTGGCGCGCAGACGGGAAAAAGTAAAAGCGGTGCAACCGGGTCACAGGAACCTACACTCAACGCTGATGGAACAGTAAAAGAGACGGCCGCTTCTGGTACCAAAGGCTCACAACAGTCTGGAACTCAAGCTAGTGGTACCGCTGCCTCCGGTACTGCCGCTTCTGGTACTGCTGCTGCTGGTACTGCAGCTTCTGGATTGGATGGCGAAGATGAAGAGGAAGATGGAACAGGTACTGGTTCAAATGTAACTGGCTCTGGCGCGCAGACGGGTAAAAGTAAAAGCGGTGCAACAGGGTCACAGGAACCTACACTCAACGCTGACGGAACAGTGAAAGAGACGGCTGCTTCTGGTACCAAAGGCTCGCAACAGCCTGGAACTCAAGCTAGTGGTACCGCTGTCTCCGGTACTGCCGCTTCCGGTACTGCTGCCGCTGGTACTGCAGCTTCTGGATTGGATGGCGAAGATGAAGAGGAAGATGGAACAGGTACTGGCTCGAATGTAACTGGCTCTGGCGCGCAGACGGGGAAAAGTAAAAGCGGTGCAACAGGGTCACAGGAACCTACACTCAACGCTGACGGAACAGTGAAAGAGACAGCCGCTTCTGGTACCAAAGGCTCACAACAGTCTGGAACTCAAGCTAGTGGTACCGCTGCCTCCGATACTGCCGCTTCTGGTACTGCTGCCGCTGGTACTGCAGCTTCTGGATTGGATGGCGAAGATGAAGAGGAAGATGGAACAGGTACTGGTTCGAATGTATCTGGATCTGGCGCGCAGACGGGAAAAAGTAAAAGCGGCGCAACAGGGTCTCAGGAACCTACACTCAACGCTGACGGAACAGTGAAAGAGACAGCCGCTTCTGGTACCAAAGGCTCACAACAGTCTGGAACTCAAGCTAGTGGTACCGCTGCCTCCGGTACTGCCGCTTCTGGTACTGCTGCCGCTGGTACTGCAGCTTCTGGATTGGATGGCGAAGATGAAGAGGAAGATGGAACAGGTACTGGTTCGAATGTAACTGGCTCTGGCGCGCAGACGGGGAAAAGTAAAAGCGGTGCAACAGGGTCACAGGAACCAACACTCAACGCTGACGGAACAGTGAAAGAGACGGCCGCTTCTGGTACCAAAGGCTCGCAACAGCCTGGAACTCAAGCTAGTGGTACCGCTGTCTCCGGTACTGCCGCTTCCGGTACTGCTGCTGCTGGTACTGCAGCTTCTGGATTGGATGGCGAAGTAGAAGAGGAAGATGAAACAGATGCTGGTTCGAAAGTATCTGGTTCTGGCGCGTTGACGGGAAAGAATAAAAGCGATGCAACCGGGACACAGAAACCTACACTCAACGCTGACGGAGCAGTGAAAGAGACAGCCGCTTCTGGTACCAAAGGCTCACAACAGTCTGGAACTCAAGCTAGTGGTACCGCTGCCTCCGGTACTGCCGCTTCTGGTACTGCTGCCGCTGGTACTGCAGCTTCTGGATTGGATGGCGAAGATGAAGAGGAAGATGGAAGAGGTACTGGTTCGAATGTATCTGGATCTGGCGCGCAGACGGGAAAAAGTAAAAGCGGCGCAACAGGGTCTCAGGAACCTACACTCAACGCTGACGGAACAGTGAAAGAGACAGCCGCTTCTGGTACCAAAGGCTCACAACAGTCTGAAACTCAAGCTAGTGGTACCGCTGCCTCCGGTACTGCCGCTTCTGGTACTGCTGCCGCTGGTACTGCAGCTTCTGGATTGGATGGCGAAGATGAAGAGGAAGATGGAACAGGTACTGGTTCGAATGTAACTGGCTCTGGCGCGCAGACGGGGAAAAGTAAAAGCGGTGCAACAGGGTCACAGGAACCAACACTCAACGCTGACGGAACAGTGAAAGAGACGGCCGCTTCTGGTACCAAAGGCTCGCAACAGCCTGGAACTCAAGCTAGTGGTACCGCTGTCTCCGGTACTGCCGCTTCCGGTACTGCTGCTGCTGGTACTGCAGCTTCTGGATTGGATGGCGAAGTAGAAGAGGAAGATGAAACAGATGCTGGTTCGAAAGTATCTGGTTCTGGCGCGTTGACGGGAAAGAATAAAAGCGATGCAACCGGGACACAGGAACCTACACTCAACGCTGACGGAGCAGTGAAAGAGACAGCCGCTTCTGGTACCAAAGGCTCACAACAGTCTGGAACTCAAGCTAGTGGTACCGCTGCCTCCGGTACTGCCGCTTCTGGTACTGCTGCCAATGGTACTGCAGCTTCTGGATTGGATGGCGAAGATGAAGAGGAAGATGGAACAGGTACTGGTTCGAATGTATCTGGTTCTGGCACGCAGACGGGAAAAAGTAAAAGCGGTGCAACAGGGTTTCAGGAACCTACACTCAACGCTGACGGAACAATGAAAGAGACGGCCGCTTCTGGTACCAAAGTCTCACAACAGTCTGGAACTCAAGCTAGTGGTACCGCTGCCTCCGGTACTGCCGCTTCTGGTACTGCTGCCGCTGGTACTGCAGCTTCTGGATTGGATGGCGAAGATGAAGAGGAAGATAGAACAGATGCTGGTTCGAATGTATCTGTTTCTGGCGCGCAGACGGGAAAAAGTAAAAGCGGTGCAACCGGGTCACAGGAACCTACACTCAACGCTGATGGAACAGTGAAAGAGACGGCCGCTTCTGGTACCAAAGGCTCACAACAGTCTGGAACTCAAGCTAGTGGTACCGCTGCCTCCGGTACTACCGCTTCTGGTACTGCTGCCGCTGGTACTGCAGCTTCTGGATTGGATGGCGAAGGTGAAGAGGAAGATGGAACAGGTACTGGTTCGAATGTAACTGGCTCTGGCGCGCAGACGGTGAAAAGTAAAAGCGGTGCAACAGGGTCACAGGAACCTACACTCAACGCTGACGGAACAGTGAAAGAGACGGCCGCTTTTGGTACCAAAGGCTCACAACAGTCTGGAACTCAAGCTAGTGGTACCGCTGCCTCCGGTACTGCCGCTTCTGGTACTGTTGCCGCTGGTACTGCAGCTTCTGGATTGGATGGCGAAGATGAAGAGCAAGATGGAACAGGTACTGGTTCGAATGTATCTGGTTCTGGCGCGCAGACGGGAAAAAGTAAAAACGGTGCAACAGGGTCTCAGGAACCTACACTCAACGCTGACGGAACAGTGAAAGATACGGCCGCTTCTGGTACCAAAGGCTCACAACAGCCTGGAACTCAAGCTAGTGGTACCGGTGCCTCCGGTACTGCCGCTTCTGGTACTGCTGCCGCTGGTACTGCAGCTTCTGGATTGGATGGCGAAGATGAAGAGCAAGATGGAACAGGTACTGGTTCGAATGTATCTGGTTCTGGCGCGCAGACGGGAAAAAGTAAAAACGGTGCAACAGGGTCTCAGGAACCTACACTCAACGCTGACGGAACAGTGAAAGATACGGCCGCTTCTTATACCAAAGGCTCACAACAGCCTGGAACTCAAGCTAGTGGTACCGGTGCCTCCGGTACTGCCGCTTCTGGTACTGCTGGCGCTGGTACTGCAGCTTCTGGGTTGGATGGCGAAGATGAAGAGGAAGATGGAACAGGTACTGGTTCGAATGTAACTGGCTCTGGCGCGCAGACGGGAAAAAGTAAAAGCGGTGCAACGGGGTCACAGGAACCTACATTTAACGCTGACGGAACAGTGAAAGAGACGGCCGCTTCTGGTACCAAAGGCTCACAACAGCCTGGAACTCAAGTTAGTGGTACCGCTGCCTCCGGTACTGCCGCTTCTGGTACTGCAGCTTCCGGATTGGATGGCGAAGATGAAGAGGAAGATGGAACAGGTACTGGTTCGAATGTAACTGGCTCTGGTGCTCAGATGGAAAAAAGTAAAAGTGGTGCAACAGGGTCTCAAGAACCTACACTCAACGCTGACGGAACAGTGAAAGAGACGGCCGCTTCTGGCACCAAAGGCACACAACAGTCTGGAAGCCAAGCTGCAGGTACTGCCGCTACGAGCCTTGAGGTTGAAGATGAAGATGCAACTGATACTGGCTCGAACGATTCAGCTTCTGATGGAACACAAAAAGAGTTGGCAATTTCTGGTAGTGATGGTTCAAAACTTTCTGGCACAAAAGCTGCTGGTAGTAAACCGAGTCAGAAAACAGCAAGATCGGAAGTTGAAGAAAGTGAAATAAATCCATCCGATAGGGGCGAGGGGTTAAATGCTGCGCCTGGTTCTCTTTCGGATCTATCCACCAGCAAGTCCAAAAGCAAATTTTCCGGTTCCAAAGAAAACGGAACCTTTGGAACATCTCACGCTTCAGTTGTAAATTCGAGAGGAAACTATGGACCCAATAGTACTGAAGACGCCGCTGGGCCCAAGAGTAATACATCAGGTTCGCAAGGTGCTGGAACACTTGGAACTGAGAAGTCTCTTGGCACTGGAGGATCCCAAGGAACTTCTCATGCTTCGGTTGTAAACTCCAGAGGAAGTTATGGCCCGAGTAGAGCCGAAGATAGCGCAGAGTCTAAAAGTAAAATGTCAGATTCTAAAGGTGCTGGAACTCTTGGAACTGGGAATTCTCTTGGAACTGGAGCCTCTCATGGAACTTCTCATGCTTCGGTTGTAAACTCGAGAGGAAGTTATGGACCCAGCAGCGCTGAAGAAGAATATAAGTCCCGAGGTGAGCTTTCAGGTGATATCAAGGAAGAAGAAAATGAGGACGATGAAGATAAACACACAAGAACAGGAGATAACTCGGCTATTTCGGCTCGAACTTCACTTGAAGAGGAACAATCAGGGTCACAAAAAACTCTAGAAGTCACAAAAAATTCTAGTGGTGCTCTCGGTGTTAAATCAGCCGCTACTGAGCAAGAAGGTGGCGAATTGGAGGGGTCGATAGAATCAGAAAAAGTTGATCCTGATGCCGACGATGGAGGTGATGATGACGAAAACGACCCGTCCCAGAAAGACACCAAAACTGGATCTGGATCTAGTTCGAAAAGTAAAGATCCGACTCTACCCGATGGTCCTCCTGGCGATGATGAGGGATTGTCAGGCACAAATACTGGCTCCAAAGGTCAGAGTTTTAAAAAGGGCGAAGAAGGAACATCGGACGCAAGCAAACTTTCTGGATCCAAAAACGGGAGTCAAAATAAAACTTCGCAGCCGACTGGATCAAAAGCTGGAACTGGTTTAGCTGGGAGTAAAGAAGAAGGCGAAGAGGAGGCTGGCGAGGATGAAATTGAAGCAGAGGAAGCTGAAGATCAGTTTGGTGAAAAAAGCAACGTTACCGGAGTCGAAATCAGCAATGCAGATGATGATTCGGCAACACAAGAACCAGGCGGTACAGAGGAATCAAAAAAAGCTACTGATATGATGCAAAGTGAAGGCACTTTTACTCCTTCGAAAGCTGCAGAAATGGGAGTCTCATATGAGGAACCACAAGGGCAAGAAGATGGGAAATCACAAGGTCTTTCGGCTGCTGGAACTGGTTCCAAGCAGGATGATGGTCTGTCAGCTCCTGAGACGGGAACCAAGCAAGACTCAGACGTTTCGAGTGACATCAAAGTTTCCAAGAGTGGGAGCAAGTGGCCGAACACAGAAACTACTCTGCCCCCGACTGAGTTCGGAAACAATTACGAGAACGTGCAGGCCAAAGTGAGGAGACCTGAGATCACGCTTTATTTTTAAAATCCACCCTTTATCGAGACAATAAATCAGTTCCTTGGTAACGCCAAAATTTTAAGTATTTACACCAAAATTTTTTGTAAATTTGTCACTATTAGCATCATGCTTTTGCCTCTCAATGGCTGTTCAAGTGGGTCTGTTTTTCCGTAAGAACAAAACTAAAAACTGAATTCTTAAACTCAATATGTTGTGAAAGTGAATAAATCGTTGAAAGGAGAAGAAACCTGGGAAACAGCTCAACTTCGACGAGCAGATGAAGAGTACAAAGGGTTGTATGCACTCATTGGAACAACTGAGATCACAGCATGAACAGATGATAAACAAACTGCAGCAGGAGCAGAACAAAGAGGGCGGACAGGAGGGGGAGGAGGGCGAGGAGGAAGGGAGCAAAGATGGGGGAGGCAAGAAGCAGGAAGAGGGAGGAGAGTAAGTCTATTTGTGGGAAAAGTCTTATTTGACTGTCGTAATTGATAAAATATCAAACTCTAATTTCTTTTGTGAAAAAATTTAAGAGATTAATTAGAAGAAGTTTTTTTGTCAGCACACATACTCTTTTGTGCTTTAAGATTTAAAATAAAAATTTTCAGAATTAATTGTAAACTAACAAGATGAGAAAAATCAGCTTCATCAACATCGAATGAACCAAGTTCATGCTGTTATGTGGAAGCTTAAGAAAACTTCCATATCAAAATCATTGCGCATGCCGGCAAACAGATAAATACTGATAGCTTAGCTTTAAAAAATACCAAAACTTTTTGTTATTTTGTGATGTTTTCGTTTGCAGTGTGAATGCAAAGCAGAAGGCAATGGAGATGTCCAAGCAGAGAATAGAGAGTGGTCTCGCCGATGCACAGGTTTAGCAAAATACTTCGATTAATTTTTTCATAAAATAGTTTTGTCTTAAATTTAGTTCAGACTTTTTTTAGCTAAGAAATTTGTTTTAGATAAGAATTTTTAAGATTTCCATAACCTACTGAAGACACTTATATAGGTCGTGATAATTTTTTGATCCGTTTTTTTCTCAAGAAAAGAACTATCCAGAATTTTTTAATTGGTCTAGTTTTATGGAAAAAAAGTTTTGATCATGAAACATTCTATAGTCAATGGACATAGGTGTTGCAACTTCTTGATGTCAGCGAGCGAATGACCGAATTTTGTCTTTTTTTCACGTTTTTTTTTCATTTTCTCTGCAACTATTCTAGTTATTTGTGCTTTGAAGTCGTAAACTAGCCAGTATATTAATCTAGTTTTTTTTGTGGTTCGAAGGCTTAAGTTAGCCAATATGTTAAAACCAGTTTTACAAGTGTTCTTGCTGTGAAAAGATCTTTCCAACCAGTTTAAGGAAATTGATTTTTTGGACTCAAATTAATTCTTTGCAAGCTGATAAGCTTGAGTTACTTTTTATACAGCCAAAAAACGAAGCATGAAAAATAACCAAGTCCGGCCTCAAAAAACGTTTAGATCTCTTTTGACGAAACAAAACAAACAGTAAAATTTCTTAAAGTTTATACAAGAAGATAGTACAAATTTTACACACAACTTAACTGCTAATTTGAATCTTGTGCATAGATTAGGGCAGTAATTTTTTCCGAAATACTTTCCAAAAAAGTTGTTTTGTTGACTTTTTTTGATCATCAGCGCGAAAGTATTCGTAAGTTTTGGAAGTTTTGACATGATCTAGTAACTCTTTCAATTCTTTTATCTGTCGTTTTTTGGCTGCATCAAAAGTAATTCAAGCTTATCAGCTTCCCAAATTTGAGTCAATGAATTCGAATTTCTTACCTTGTTTGCAAAGATGTTTCCACATCAAGAACACCTCTAAAACAAGTTTTAAAATACTGACTAATGTACGCCTTCGAAATAAAGTTTTTGACCCGGCTAAGTCCTTCAAAATAGTCTTTTTTGAAACTTATAAAATAAACCCAGTCAATGTTGAATACTTTTTATACAGCCAAAAAACGAAGCATGAAAAATAACCAAGTCCGGCCTCAAAAAGAAGTCCTAAAAACGCCTTTTTCGGCCTGTTTTTTCAAAATTTTGCATGCAGCGCAGAAATTTTAACCAAAACAGAGTCTTTATTGTGCTTACGGAGAGCTCGGAAAATCAATTTACTCGACCTAAAAAAAGGTCGACAACAACTTTTTGTCGTTTTTTTTTGAAAATCCGCCCCCGCCTCGAGAAAATCCTAGACTACTAGCACGCTTCAGTTCAAATTGGCTTGGTATAATACCGAAAGTGCATCGGCCTGTCAAATGGCGCATGATAAGTCTTTATTATGTGTACTAAAATTTCCAAACCTGAGGTAATTTTTATTTCTTCTCTTTGGTCGCAAAATCCTTCATGTTCAAACAAACAATTTTTCCAGAAAAAAAATTGCAGACTTCTTTTAACGTAGTCCAGACTTTTTTGAAACTTATAAAATAAACCCAGTCAATGTTGAATCAGTGGAGTAGCCGCAATCTTGACGATAATTTTTGTGAAATTTACCTTGAGGTACATGTAGCTTACTCAAGCCTCGGCAAGCTATACTGTATAGTTGTAAGTTGTGGATTGAAAAGTAAATGATTATGACTATCGTTGTTTATTACACATATTTGTTTCAGTTCATGATCCAGGCGAATGCGTACATTAAGCAGCTGGAGAGTGAACGAAGACTGCTGCAGGAACAGGTGAAGAGGTTGGTGCAGGAGAACCAGTACCTCAGGAAGGAGGCCAAAGGAAGAGGGGGGAGTAAACAGGCAAATGAACAAACAAGCATACCATTGCAGATTCTTAGAAGTGCAATCCAGCTAATCAGGGCTTAACTTTTAGTTTAATCGCCTTATAGCACTACTTCCGAAAAAAAAAGCAGTGTCAAAAATGATTAAGTCAGTTGTCAGTTTTTAACAAATCGCACATCAATTGATTGACATGATCAAATGAATCGATATAATACACTATTTTCTTTATCTTTGAAATGGGTATACCTGAGCAAAGAGTTGTCAGACGACCATATTGAAACATTTGCAAAAAATGTGTAAAAGTTATGATTATTATCACCATTTTAGCGAAAAAATAGTTAGAAAACTTGGAAATGTATCTGCTTTTTTGTGTTTTTCATTGTCATCAATTTTTTTTTTCACTTCGAATGTTTGAGAGTTTTTTGTTTTGCCCTTAAGTTCAGCATGTTTTTAAAAGCTAGCAAAATGTTCTCTTCGTTTTAAAAAAAAGTGTTTTTTTCAAGACTTGGATCAGGTCAGCTATCAAGCTGTTTTTGAGGCTTTTTGATTTGCGAAAGTTTTTAAAGTAGCTTCTAAACACCTGCACGCATAAAGGGTGAGCAAGAAATACAGGCGCCTCGAGGAGTGACGAACATCGAAAGAATGCAAGCAGAAAACAAGGGAGGCGAGAGGTACTTCGAAACACCCGAAGGAGAGAGGATAAATTACCCAGACTTTAACAAACCCATCAGTCAAGGTGTTCCCCCACCGCACACTAATAGAAGATCAAGTCAGGCATCTTCTGGAAAGAACACTCAAGGAGGAATATCTGGAAAGTCAGGTCAAGGCTCCTTTAGCAAAACCTCACAAGGTGTTGGTTCAACTAATGGCACAAAGCAACCAGGCTCCTTGGGAAGCAATAAAAGATCAAATCAAGAGCCTTTTGGAAAAGACAGTAACCCAAGATCATCACAGAAATCAGGGTCACGGCAAGACACAGGATCTTTTGGAAAAGATAGTCTTGGACGATTTTCTCAAAAATCAGGCTTTAGCAGTCAAGGTGGCTCGTCGAAGCAATCTGCGACCAGTTCTAAGCTTGGATCTCAGACAGCCTCAAACTCAACTCAGAAGTCATTTCAGAACTCATCGGGTTTCAGTGAAGGTTCTGTTCCCAAGAGTGGAGCTAGTAAATCGTTTGGATCCAAATCTGCGGGTTCGGGGTCTCAACTCTCAGGACAATCAGGTTCTGATTTTAAAAATAGCAATGACGGTTCCAAAGAAACAGACAATGACGAGGCGTCGACCGCCGGCTCTACTGGACCTGATTACTCCGAAGGTTCTCCAGAGACAGGAGGCTCCGAAGGACCTGGTGATTCGGGAGGCTCAGAAGGACCTGGTGATTCAGGAGGCTCCGATGAACTTGATGATTCAGGAGGCTCTGAAGGAATTCCCAGTGACGCCAATGAATCTGACGATAACTATAATCAAGAATCAGATTCAGAAATGTCAAGTACGAAAAGCGGGAACACTAGTCTGCTAAACAGAACTTAGCAGGGTGATATATTACAATAGTTGGCACTTCTAAATTAACGCTTTTTTAAGAAACGGTTTATAGTTTTTTACCAATGGTTTTTGTTTAAATTAAGTAAACTTGCCTAAGATAACAATTGTTCCAGCAATTGTGACATATCGCCCATTTGTATAAACTGAAACGAAGGGCATTCAGTATTTGAGTTGTCTAAAAATAATTTTACAAATATTGGTATATACTTTTTGGTAGCAAACAACGACATTTAATTAAAATTTTATATTAAATTTTTGGCCATGAAATAAAGCTGAGGTACCAACAAAACTTTTTCTGTATTAGAAATTCCAAATGGGCGATTAATCACAATAGTTGGCAACTCTGAGAATACTGAAGGAACACAAACTACAAATGTTTGTTATTGCCCTAAATTTATTGTCCTTTAGAATTATAGTTTAGATATGCAAACTGAGAACTTAAGATAAAAAATGCCAACTTTTGTGATTTATCACTCAACTTGCTTGCCTTTAATGCGTGGTTGTACGGACAATTCTAGTCACTATTGTATTTTTTTTCTATTTTTTTTTTCGTTGGGTGATTTAAAAAAAGAGGTATTTATTTCTAAACATCTGCATACCTGAAAAGGCTTACCGGAGCTCTAGATCCAAAGCTAGGTCTAGCTCCAAGAGAAGATATGGTTCTAACAGACGGTCGGGATCAAACCGAGTTAGGGGAGCCAAAGGACGATCGGGGACCAAGGGAAGATCGGGATCCAGAAGAGATCCTACTGGACAAAAGAGGTCCAGATCAAGACGAAGGTCATCATCTTGGCGACGGAAAACTGATATCAACAAAGTTATTAAAGACTTCGAGTCAGGGAAAAAACGAGTGTCAACAGCCACAGGAGAAAAAATATCCATGAAAGGGCCAAGGCCTGCTCCAAGAAAGAAACGAAGTAAGAGCCAGCCGCGAACTAATACTTTGGGAGAGCCAATTGAAGAAACGTCAGAGGCTCCACCATTCTCTGCTCAGGCATCTGCCGAAGATCAGGGATCTTCTAAGGAACCCGGTGCCGATGTTCCAGGTCCGGAAGAAATCACCAAAGGTTCCAATTTGGACGCAGAAGCTGAGCCAGCAGTGTCGGGATCTGAGGCTAAAGAGGAGTCAGCCGGAGACCCCACTTCTAGATCGCGGGACCCAACCAAAGACTCTAAGAAGAAAGTTCGGGTATCCTCTGGTCCTGCCAGGAGTATGAAGTATGGACCAGTGAAAGCATCTAGTCCATCTGCTCCGCCGGCAGACCAAGACATTGAGGGCAAGTCTGCTCAGAAGTCTGGACAGGAACCTGTGACTTCGGGAGGTGAAACAAAAAGAAGGTTTGTTACGATATGATAAAAACGAATACTAGCATTACATTAAAGAAAATAACTCCCGACAGCTTGACGACATAAAGGCATATATATTTAATTTTATCCAAAAATCACTCCTTGTTGATCATAAAAAAAAAACAATTTAAAACTAGCTTCCCATTCTGACATGCTGTGGTTGAGGATAGCTTAAAAAAGAAAAAAATGTAACCAACTTTGATGACAGGACAAAATTTTCCGACAGTTGTAATTGCAAATAAAGTTTTGAAAAAAAAACATATAGAAAGACCATCATCACACAGAGAAATTTAAATTTCTGGGAGAGATAGTTGGTTCCCAGGGCAGAATAAAGTGTAAAAAAATAAGCAACTGTAATTTGTAGAAAATTTTGCTGAAAAATAGAAAATACAAATAATTCTATTCGCATAATTTGTATATCAAAACTCAATTTCATCCGCTAGCCGCTAAGTTGTGTCCAAACAGTCAAACATTAAAACTAGTTTTTCTGGCCACTGAGACAATTTATTTTGAAGTTTTTGCAATCTGATCAAAAAAAGGTACTACATGATACAGCATTAAACCGCTACTACTGTGTTTTATAATATCACATTTTTTATAGATAATTGAAATCAGGCAAAGCTAACTATTTATGCTAAAGTTTATTTCAGTCATTTCGTAAGTCGGTCGCAAAACTACTCGCATTGGAGTTCCATGAATAAAAATCGATATCATTGAGTTTCACTGACAGTGTCCACAACAGCGAAAAAAATATATTATAATCGTTTAAAAATGGGTTAGAATTTTACTATTTTTCGGGGAAACAGAATCCATTCTTAATCCATTTCAATTGATTTTTTTTTACTTTTGTGGAAATTGACAAAAAAAATCAATTATAATCGTTTTTTTCTCCTTTTGTTGAGATGCGAATTCCATCGCATATAAAGTTTTTTCTACGTTTTAAACTAAAGTTGGTTATTTTTGATTATTTAAAAATTTTGATAATTTTGTTTCTTTTTCATGTTACTCAATAGCGGAATTTTGTTCCTTTCAACAACTGTCCGCTTCTGTTCCCTCTAATATTTGCCCCTTTGTAACTTTACACCCGCCATCCCCCACCTGAACCAATCCCAACCCTGCCCCCACCTGAACCAACCTCCAAATGAATCCCAACTGAACCAAACCCTCCCCCTCCACTCACACTCACCATACCTGAACCGGATCAGAGTTTGGGGGGTTGCTGGTGCAGTTGCGATTCGTTTGGTGGTTGGTTCAGGTGGGAGCAGGGTTGGGATTGGATCAGGCGAAGCGGGGTGGTTCAGCGTGAGGGGGAGTCCCAGAAGGTCAGGTGGGGGAATGGGGTTTAAGTGTGGGGTGGCAAAGAAGCAAACGTTTGAATGGGGGTTGTAAGGGAGCATCTTTTTGCAATTTGAATTTAGGTTTAGAAAAGAAGTAGGACGTGCAAAGATTTCGCAAAGTGAAAAGGAGTCACTTTGCAAAGACTTTGCATTACTCATTTGTTAAATGAAGAAATTCTTGCAAAATTTTGCACGACGCGGAACAAAAATATAATGAAAAATGAAAAATTTTAAAATGATTTTGTACTTGTTTTATAATCCATTGCAATGGATTTCAAATGAATTATAATGGCCAGAAAAATGGATTTAAATCCATTTTTTGTCCAATTTTGTTTTTTAAGCCTAACATGGCAATCGATTATATCGCCAGTGATTTAGACCCAAAAATCCATTCTAATCAAATTTTTTTTTTCACTTCTCTTAGAAGCGAGTAAGCTGTTTTTGTTTCTGTAACAAAATGATACTAAGCATTTTCATCGCAAAAGGTTAATTTTTTGACGGAGTGCTGGCTGTATTTATACAACCGCTTACTCATACTGGCCGGTAAGCAGACAAATACTATATCAACCAATCAGAATCGAGATGAGAAAGCCAGCTTACGAAATAACTAAGTAATATTTATAAACATTTGACATTGTCTCGATTCTGATTAGTTAATTCAGCATTTGTCTGCTTACTGACGAGTATGAATACGCGTTTATCTAAAAACTGCTACGTAACCATTTTTGACGCTAATATATAGAAAAATTTCTTCATTCCACTTGCAGATAGTCGATTTTGGAATCAGTGTAATTATCTTATCCGTCGAACATTGTATACTTTAATTAGCAGTTGAGTTTTGCCCTTATGTGAATCCAAAAGTATGCAGTTTTAGTTTTTATGCCTATGACAAGAAATGGAAAGCAATCGATCTTTTAGAGACAAGGCAAAAAATATATTTTATACTCATTTGAATAATTTGACTTAATTTTTGTTCTCATTCAATAAATATTTTGCTTTTTAAAACTTACAACTTTGTTCACGTTTTATACGGATTTAAAAGATTTGAATCTTTTTTTGTCTACCTTTTCAAACTCACCTTATCCAGTTTTTTAAAAAATAAGAAAAAAGATAAAAAGTGGCATGCTTTTTATGTGATGTTTTGTGATGATGTTTGACCAGCGCAAAAAGTAAAAGTCACTGAAACGCGTTTTCTTGGCTCTTTTTCGGACTATTATAGGTGTTTTAATAGCACAAAAAACTTTTTAAAGCCGTTAAAAACTAGAATTTTAAAAGCTTCATTGTGTTCTTCCTTGGCATTTTTATAACTCATTAAAAAATTGAAAACTAAAGGAAAAAATTATTGGAGTTTTTTTATTTTCATCTTTATGTTTAAAAAATTGTAATAAAAAATGACCAATTTAAAAAAACTATAAACCTTACAAACATTATTCTCAACACGCACAAAAATACAAAAATGCGGCTCAATTTTTTTTAAAAAATCTTGTTTTTTATTAATGTGCTTGGAATTTTCAGTGATAATTGCCTAGCAATGTTCTGCTTTGGTTTTTGTGGTAATAGTTCCATCGTATAGTTTTCCTGGACAGCGACTGGTAGTTAAGGCTTGATGATTTGTTCGATTAATTTTTCCCGAAAATATAATTTCGCCCAGTTACGTATAAATAAAACACTTTCATGAAATGAATCAACATAGTAGTTATATCAAACTTTTTAGTTTTCATTTGTGGAGGGAAACCTGAATAAGGGCATAGATTAGATTTTTATCTTTCCAACGAATACTTTTAAGTCTGAAGTTTCAAACTTCTTCCACTGTTTACGGGGATGTTTTTGAACTAAGAACCCCACACTTAAGCCTTCTAACTGAATGTTCAAACGACGCTTCGAAAAAAAAACTTTTTACAATTTTTATCTATCCTCACATTTTCATTTCTCAAAATTTGAACCGTGAATCGTAAAACGAAGTTATAAGGAAAACGTAAGAAACGCATTCGTTTATTTCATCGTTTGAAGAATTAAAAAAAATTACTTCTATGTCTCGCGACTGTACTCTTTAACATGTCCATGTATTATTACTTGCAATAAATTTAGATAAAAACGCGCAGAAATCATTTATTAAATTTGAGATAGAAAAGGAAGTTATTTAGGTTTTACATTTTGATTCAAACCTTTCATGAATGTATTTAGCTGCACATTATTTAATGTAACAAAACCACAAAAGGAGCAATGAAAAGTTAAATAATTTTGAGGCTTTTTTGATTCATTAAAAACAAAATGTATTTGAGTGGTTTTTGAGTGATTTTTTTC